TTTATAGAAGTACACCCAGAACCAGCTGTTCAAGCCTGGAGGAACACCTGGATTCCCTTTTAAACTGCCATTCCCTTTGCCATTCACCAGGTCCCAACACCACCCTGAGTGACCTGCTGTTGCCAGCACACCAGGCACTTTATGTCCGGTCAGGACACCCTCATTAGCGACCATCCCACTGCGACACTAATTACAACTTCAGCAGTTCCAGGGGCCTGGATAAATTTGGATGTTCGCTTCACTTTCTTGAGAGGTGCAGCCTGTGAGCTACATGTGGTTGCAAACTTCAGGCAGGCTGCTAAGGCAAAAAGTCACTCTATTATGTTTCCTCTGACGCATCAAGAATTTGTCCATTGGAAAGTTGTGGGTGGGCTTTAACCTGAGTATACAGGTTTCAGTGAGCTGTACTGAGATCACACGGTCAGCTCTTGTCTGGTTTCATAGCAATTCCACTTGTTCAAAACAGTCAACCTGTGCTACATCCTTTTAAATTATTCAGCTAGATACCAGCTGTTTTCGTTTAGCTTTCAGAAACACAGTCACAGTTTGAACCCAGCCTGGTGTTATTTTTGAGGCTGACAACGTGCAGAGATACCCTCATCTGAGAGCCTTGGACTAAGCTCAGGATGATAACGTAGCATGGGTACATCTTGGATACATCTTTAATTAGATTTTTTTTCATTCTCCTATCACACATTAGGGAATGTGCCCTTCACAAGGGAAGGCGATGATGACTGCTGAAACAGAAGAAAAAGGGGTCTGGGAAGCAGGAGAGACATAATGTTCTGGGTCCACTGAATGGGAATTTACATCTTTGACATAATATTAGCAAATTTCCTCTTGAAGAAGGTTAGGAAGATGTTTGATAAGAAGCAAGGTCAGAACGGGACACACAGGGGTGCCTGAAGAGACTGGTCAGCATTTGTTTGCTGTCAACAAATGGCATCAAGGCCAGGTTATGGACACAAGGAAGGGAAACCGGGTTACGGACAGCTAACCTCCTACCTCAGAAACCAGTGAATGTCACCCCGCCAGCAGCCGCTGCTGTATTGTCCTTTGCCTCAAATAAACTCACTTAAAAGGGAACGTGTAACAGGAGGCATTTGGAGTTTGGGGATACTCTTCTGCCACGTGGGAGGATTAAGCTTTGTTTGCAAAAACCGTGGAGAAGCTAGTATAGGGGGAGAAAGGAGACAATGAGTTTGTGTATTGGTGGGAAAAAAGGCATCGGAAGTGACTCAGAATAGTATAATCTAGCCAGAGATGTAGTACCGAGAAGTGTTGCATAGCTGTGCTGATGAGTTATGTCTAAATACCATTCCAGGGGATTTAATTCTGTTGGTGGTCTGTAGGTTGCTTACTATAGGTTCAGTAAATTCTGCTCCTTGCCTTGAGATGTTTATGTACAATGCACAAAACAGAGCAGTCGCTGACTGGGTAAATACTAACTCCTGAATAAGTCACCTTTTGTGCCACAGTATACCTGTCTTGGAAACAACCACATTTATTTTCCTCATGCTGGTGACAAAAATCATAGCTGGTGTTTAGAGCTCATTTGCGGACCCTGGAGAGGAGAGGTTGAGATGGCGGGAGGCGGATAATCATTTTTGAACTCTGGCATATCAAGACGATCACAACATGTGTAAACCCAGGAGGTCACATTGTAATACCTTGTTAATGCCTTCAAAGCTTTTGAGAGACCTTTGTGGAGTTATTCTGCATGAAAAATTAACCCCAATATATACATCCAAAAACTGGAGCCAACATACAGAATAAAGAGCCCTGGAGAAGAGGGTTAAGATCTAATCTGTTACTTTCCACTTTCTCGTGGGAGCAGATGCAGCAGAGGAGGGGGTAGGCCAGCGTGAAGGCTCCGTTCTCACATCGCTGCTACTGTGTCATGTACCGTGGAAGTGTATGTCACAACAGCTAACGGGGAGGCTGGGGAGGCCTCTAGCTCCATCTCGTCCTTTCTGCTCAGCCCGGCAGTGTCACACGGGAGTACAGAGCGCGGCTGACCCCCAGGGAACCCTACGTCAGTGTTGGGAAAAAAAGAAAATACAGCACGGTCTGTGCATGCAGTCACATCGCACACACTGCTTCACAAGGAAGGGAAGGAAATGAAATGATACGCAGGGGGGGCAGCCATGATTACTGAAAATTATATATACACTCTTGAAGTGAACAGCCTTCATCTAATTTGCAGGTAAATTAATGATTTACAAAGAAGCATGGTCTATTAAAAGTAAATTTTAGCAACAGACATATGTGGGCTGTTACGGTGATTTTTCATTTAAATCTTCAATTCTTTTCTATATCTCTGTGAACTATGAGATGAGCTGATGGAGAACTGGCAAAGAGCTATGAAAATTAGTGGCTTGGCAAAAGATGAAGAAGAGACAAAATTGTCACAGTAAAAGGAGTGGACAAAATTATCTATACCGGAGTTAAAATAGAAAATCAAAACTTCATTTTTTCACTTGGCACACAAACGGTTCACTCAGCATTCCCACAAGATGTTGCGGAGGCCACAAGCAAGAAGGGGAATGGTTGTGGAGGACAGACTCAATTAGTGGAGCGGGAATCACTGGTGACAATGACCATGCGTGGCTGTAGAAGTCTCTAAAATGCTGATTACCAGGGTGAAGGCACAGCTGGGAAGGAGCAACGTTGCTTTGCCTTGTTTGCTTGGGCATGGTTGTGGCTTCCAGGAGCGGGGCTGGGACCCGGGCAGCGGGGGGAAAGGCGGCTACAGCCGTCTCAAGTCGGAGATTTCACAATGCTGTGGAGATGCACCTCCTAGCAGGCACCCGCCGCTCTGGCCCACATCCACGAGAGGATCCAGTGTTAGGCAAACCTGTGGTCAGACACCAGTTGAGATTCCTAAAATCTAGTTTTCTTTTACATAGATCTTCATTTAAAAAAAAAAAAAAAAACAAACCAAACCTTTGCAATAAATTTGCTAGCTTTCACATTTGCTAAAGCGCTACCACTTTTCCTTCCGAAACAGTAATATTAGAAATATGGTCTATTAAAAAAAAAAAAAAAAAAAAACAAACGGGGGGGGTGGAGTACATTCGGGGATATATTCTTGTGTGGCTTAGTTCTGGGTATTTCCTTCAGTGAGAGGCTTGCCTTCCCCAGCAGGGAACATATGAATATTTCCCATTTATGTATGTAACTCACATATGTAATATTGTGTGACTAGATACATATCTGTATCTATATATATTTTAGCCAGACTTCCACATAGTTATCTGGAGGGAACAACGTGTGTCACCAAAGAGTCCCCAGAGAAACAATCCGTTTGGCAACACTGGACTTCATTATAATTGAGAACAAAAACAACGGTAAGCAGGAAACCATAAAACCCCTCAAATTAACTGTAGCCAACGGCAGACAGGCCCGGAGCAGCGGGCTCGCGGGGTGGGGGGGGTGCGGGCTGCAGACCAAGCCTGTCTCCGGCGAGTGGCTCCGGTTTGAGGTTGTCACCCAGCCCGTCACCACCCCCCGCCCTTTTCTTCTTTTCTTCCCAGATTTTGACCTGTGCTCGAGCCCAAGAGCCAATTTATCGATAAGCAACCCCACCTGGGCACATGCCGGGAGAGTTTGGGCGTACAGTTCCAGAGCGGTGCCTCCCCGGCCCTCCCTCTCCCCCCATTCCCGGGGGGGGTGGGGGGGATGCCCCGACGGTGGGGTGGCGAGTCCCGAGGATGCTCCGGGGCCGGCGGCAGAGCCATCGGGTTTGCGAATTGCCTTGGAAAGGCAAGGCGGTGCATGCAAAGAGGCGAAGCAGGAAACCTCCCCGGCAATGGGCGGCGTGGAGCTGCGGGTGGGTTTGGTTTTGGTTTTGTTTTTTTTTTTTTTTTTTTTTTATTTCATGGCAAATACAGCGCGGGAATTCGTGGGGAGAAGGCAGGGCAAACATTCACCTCCCGCGCCGGTGGCTTTGCGAAACAGCCGGCGCAACGCCTCTTTTCGTTTGCTGCTCCTTTTTACATGGAAAAGAGTTTTATGGCTCGAAGCCAGCTGTAAATTAACAGCTAAGTGAAACCATTATGTCAGTGGGATGCTTTAATCGGTTTACAAAACACCGTTCGGGGTACGACGCGTATCCGTAGGCAGGAGCTACGCAGGCGGGTACCCGGGAGGCTCCCGTCGAAACCCAGGGGGGGTCACCGGCCCCGGCCAGGGTGCCCCCCCACGCCGGTGGCCACCGGGGAGGTGGCGGTAAGGACACCCCCTCCCCGCCCTCCGAACCCCCATTTACACGGCGGTGATGGCCGAGCGTTTACAAACTCTTTGCATTAGAAAGGTTTCGTTAAAGGTGCCCCGGAAAAACATGTTGGGATGATGGGGGGGGGGGGGGGGGGGGGGGGCGGCGGGGCCCCGCTGCTGCGCGGGGCCGGGGGCTCCCTCGCTCCGGCGATTCTCACCCGAAAGGCCGGGAGAGGAAGGGGCGGGAAATCTCTTAAAAGGGAAAATAATCCCAACCCGCGGTGTCGGGGCTGGCTGCCAAGCGGCTCCCCCACCGCCGGGCCCTCGGGGGAGACCAACCCCGCACCGGCGGCCCCAGCACCGGCTCCTCCCGCCCCCAATTGCACGAAGCCGCCGAGCCCGGGCCCCGCCGCCCCCACCCGCGACGGCGCTTCCCGGCGGCCGCCCCCCAGCCGGGCCCCGCCCCCGAAGCGGTGGGAACGGGACGGGACGGACACACAGACACCCGGGGGGGGGGGGGGGACGACGGTTCGGTGGAGCGGCCGCCCCTCCCCTGGCCCCTCCCGGCGGGGGCGGTGGCTCCGCGCTGCCGTCGGGGCCGGGGCGTGGGCGAGAAAAACACGGGCGGAGGGGGCCGGGTGCGTGGGGGGAGTGTAGCAATGATGACAAGAGCAGCCCAGTGTTAGGGTTCAGTTCCAGCTGATTTTATTTCCTTCCCGAAAAAAAAAAAAAAAAAAAAAACCAACAACAACAAAAAAACCACAAAAAAAAACAACAACAACAACAAAAAAAAAGAGAGGTTATTTACAGAAGGTATATCAACAATCTGACAGGCAGTGAACTTGACATGGTTAGCTGGCATGATTTTTTTTTTTTTTCTCTCTTCTTTCCCAACGTTGCGTTGTGGGTGATCGTTAAGACCGAAAAAAAAAAAAAAATATTCTACACAGCATATTGCACAGGATGGATGACCAAAAAAATAACAAAAAGAACAAAAAAAGTTAAACCCTTAACGGAACCACCTCATTAGGCAGACGTCCTAGTGCCTGTCATGTTATATTAACATACATAAACACACAATCTTTTTTGCTTATTATAATACAGACTTAAATGTACAAAGATGTTTTCACTTTCTTCATCTTAAACACAACAGCTATAAACCTGAATACATATGCTATCATCATGCCATAAGAGACTAAAACAATTATATTTAGCGACAAGTAGAAAGGATTAAATAGTCAAATACAAGAATGAAAAACGCAGTACATAGTGTCGCGAACTCAAACCGGCATTTCGATAGATCCAGTGGTTTAAACGGCACGTTTTTGCTTCTAAAAAAAAAAGTGCAAAAGATGTGGTTTACAAGTTAAAGGTACAGGATCCCTTCTGTGTAAATGCACCAGTTGCTTTACTTCATTTCGGGATAGATTTCGCCCCAAAACGGTAGCATACAGTGTATACGCCTTAGTCTTTCCCTTCCCCTCTGGCCTCCCCCGGCCCCCCCGCCCTCCCCCCCCCAAAAGGCAGGGCGCTGCAGAGCGGGCACTGGCGGCGGCGGCGAGGGATGCTGTCACTTTAAGATGCCTGCAGATTGGAGTGTAAACATGGACAAAATAGGGGCTGATTCGTGGGTGTGTGAGTGTGAGTGAGAGCGCACACGCGTGGGAGATACTAACCAGCGGCCCTGTTGTTAAAATCAGGAAATCCAAACAGCGATTTACACCGATTTACACCCCCTTTATATATTTTTTACAAAAATACACTGAGAAAATAATCAAACGTTTTCATCTCTCTTCTCTTTTTGTTTTTAAAAGTGTCAAAAGTCTACATTTAAATATAAAAAATTAAAAGTTAAAACTCTAGCCCTTCAGTGAAGGAGACATAAAAATGGTGCGGGTAACAACGAGAACTACCAAAAAAGGACAAAGAAATACAAGTCAAAAATGTTTGGCCAGTATAAATACGTCCACTTATAAAATGGCATCCGATTACATTTACAAGGAAAAAAAACAATACGAGGATGGAGCATCGGTGAGAAAAAACAGTCTTTTCATTTACAGCTCTAAGGAACAAACACATACATACTCTGAGAAAAAATTTGGTCCTGAATTTTCTTTTTTTTTTAAGTCCAGCACAGATTTGAGTTGCGTTTGAATCCTTTAAAGAGTTAAGAATGAAAAAAAGCTGGTGATATTTTTGTAGGAATCAAACATAGCGCCATCTATCTGCTTTTATATTATCCTAACACTATTTTTTTTTAAACTGTTCAACAGTCTTACAGAAATCTTAAAAAGATAGACAGGATAACATGCTATATTAAACCCCACCAGTGAAATAATCCAACACCACCACGATTCTGAGTAAAGAAGAAAAAAACTACTTCTTTTTTTTGTTTGTTTTTTTTTTAGTATTTTCAGGGTTTTTTTGCAAAAGCCATCGCCCTCCATTTCCCCTGTACCACATCATGACAGAAACTGTTCCCATTCGGTCTCCGTTTCAAAAGAAGTTTTCAGTGTTCTTGAAGTTCCGTCCTTATTTTTCTCTCTACATATGACATAAGGTGACTGAGAAAAGCGCTGCCGCCACCTCATCTGTACGTGCAAATCCTTTTCAGTTTATTATTATCTTCCCCCCGCCGTATTTCCAAGACAGCTCTCAAGTGTTAAGTCTGGCTCTTCTCCGCTTAACTGGGATCTCAGTCCAGCTCCCAGCTCCATCCGCCTCCTCCTCCTCCCATCATCGTCGCCTCCTCTCACCGCAGAAGAAACCGGGACAGGATTTCTGCCCCCAAAGATGAACCGTGCAAGGGCTTGGGTGGATTTTTTTTGTCTTTTTTTTTTTTTTTTTTTTTTTCCCCAAGCAGTTCTGATCGCTCTTTCACACGAAAGGGCGAATGCTCAAGACATCCAGTGTGCGCTCAGCACAATGCATCGCTCCCCCTCCCCTTTATCCGTATAAAGTGGGCAATAACAAAGAACCCAGAGGTGTGTGTGGTTGCGCCCTCCCCCCCCCCCCCCCCCCCCCCCCTTTCTTCCGTCTCTCTTTTCAGGAAATAAAAAAAAAAAAAAAAGGAAAAACCGTTTCGCTCCCGCCAGTCTCTGAAAAAAAACAACGTCTGGCTTGGCTCCCGGAGAGGGGTGAGGGTCCGTCTCCAGCCGGAGGAAGGGGACCGCTGGCCTTTCTGCAAGGAGAGGGCGAGCCCGCTCCCGCCGCCGCTCTCCCCCAAGCACAAAAAGCAGTCTCGCCAGCCCCTTTCCCAGGAATAAAAAAAAAAAAAAAAAGGGGGGGGTTAGGAAAAACAAAACAAACAAACAAACAAAAAACCAAAAACCAAAACCAAACGAAACAAAACAAACGCACAAAAAGAAAAGAAACAAAAGCGCCCCGACGGGGTGGGCGAGTCCTGCCGACAACGCGCCTCTGTGCCTCCTCCAGCCGGGCCGGGCCCTCGCCTCAGTAAGTGAAGACCAGGTTGGAAATGCTGGACTCCAGCCAGTCCCCCGAGATCATCTCACTTACCTCCGGCGTGCAGTAGTCCGGGAACTCAAAGTGCGAGCCCGAGCCGGGCTCGAAGTTAAAATCCAGGTCCCGGTCGAGCACCGAGGAGCTGAAGCTGCCCAGGGACATGCTCTCAAAGCCGGGGCTGGGGTTCAGGTCCAAGAGGTCGTCCTCAAACTCGTCGTCCGACGAAGAGGAGCCGGAGGAGGAAGAGGAGGAGGAGTGGGAGGACGCGGAGGAGGAATGCGCCGTCGAGGGGGCCGGGGAGGAGGCGCGCAGGCTGGTGTAGCTGCGGTGATCCGAGGGCGAGCCCGAGCCGGAGGGCGAGGGGCAGGCGGCGCCTCCGCAGTCCCCGTCGGGCCGGCCCGCCCCGCCGCCCCCCTCCTCGTAAAGGCTCAAGGGATCGCCGGCCTCCGCCGGGCTGCTCAGCGTGGGGCTGCCGGGCACGGCGCCGCCGGGGGACGCGGAGGCCGCCTGCCCGCTCCCGAAGACGTAGACCCGCTTCAGCTTCTTCTCGGCCAGCGCCTTGCCGGCGCCCGCGGGCGCGCCCGCCGCCCCCCGCGGCTTGTACAGCGCCTGGTGCTCGGGCGGCAGCAGCGCGGCCGGCGGCTCCCCCGGGAACGGGGCGGCCTTGCCGCCCGCCGCCTTGCCGTGGGGCCTGCCGCCCGCGGGCGGGGGCTTGGGGCCGCCGCCGCCGCCCTTCTTCGGGGCGGGCTTGGCGGGGGCCGCGGGGCCGCCGGAGCCGCCGCCCGCGCCGCCCCCGCCCCCGCCGCCCTTGTCCGCCTTGTCGCCGGGTTTGGCGGAGCTGTTGCCCGACTTCACCTTCTTCCTGGGCCGGTACTTGTAGTCGGGGTAGTCCGCCATGTGCTTGAGGCGCAGCCGCTCCGCCTCCCGGATGAAAGGGATCTTGTCGCTGTCCTTGAGCAGCTTCCAGCGCTTGCCCAGGCGCTTGGAGATCTCGGCGTTGTGCATGTCGGGGGACTGCTCCATGATCTTCCGCCGCTCGATCTGCGACCACACCATGAAGGCGTTCATGGGCCGCTTGATGTGCCCGCTGGGCGTCTTGCACCAGCTCGGGTCGTCCGCCTTGCCCCCCGTGGAGGCGGTGGAGCCCGGCGTGGGGGAGGAGGCGATGCCCAGCTCGATGCCGGCTCCGGAGTCGGAGGTCTCGGCGGCCAGCAGCGCCTCCGTGTTCTCCGCCGTGTTGGTCTGCTGCACCATCGCGGCGGCGGCGGCGGCGGCGGGGGGGGGCTCGCCGGGGCTCAGCGCCGCTCCGGCGCGGGGCAAAGCGCGCAACTTCTCACAGCGGCACCGGGGCCGCGCAGCCCCCCGCGGCCGCGCCCCCGCTCCCCGCACCACTTGTACTTCCACACCGGCGCGGTCCTCTCCCCCTCAGGGCGGCGGCGGGGCCGCCCGCGGTCACACAGAGTTTCTGCAAAAGCGGCGCCTTGAGCCGCCCGTCCAAGTTTGGTTGGGTTTTTTTTTTTTTTTTTTCTCGGTGTGTTTGAGGGCTTTATTTTTTTTTTTTTTTTTTTTTTTTTTTTTGGAGTGAGGAGGAGGAGGGGGGGTGTCGCTCTGCTTTCTTTCCCTCAGCACCGCGGGTCTCCCCCCTCCGCCAAGCAGCCGGTCCAGTTCACAAGTGCTTTTTTCGCCGGCCCCCGACCTGTCAGGAAAACAGCGCGCTCGCCGCCGAAAAGTCTCTCAGCGCTGGGCACGGCCAGCGCGCAACCTCCGCGGGGAGAGGGGCGGGGGGAGGGGGGGGAGGGAGGCGGCGCGCCCCCAAATCCCCGGCTCCAAGGACTCGTGGTGGCGGCGGCCAGGAGTTTGTGCAGGTAGGATGTGGCAGTTGCGAAAAAAAGAAAACCCCTCAGGAAAAAAAAAAAAAAAAATTAATAATAAAATAAAAAAAAAAAATCTCCGGGAGAAATAATGATTAAAAAAAAAGCGCTCGTGCATGAACGAGTGTGTACGTCCCTGGCAGGAAAAGCGGCGAGCCGGGCGCGCAGCCCCGTCCTCCTTCTCCTCCTCCTCCTCCTCCTCTTCCTCCGGTGCTGCTGGTGCTGCTGCTGCTGCTGCTCCGCGCGCGCGGAGCCCCCCGCGCGCCCGCCCGCCCCCCCCCCCGCCCGCCGCGCGCTCCGCCGGCTGCAGCTGCGAGCGGACCCTGCGAGCGGACCCCGCGCGCCGCCCCGCGCGCCGCTTTATCCGTTCGCCGCCCGCCCCGCCGCCAATCGGGCGCCGTATCCAACGCCCCCGCGCGCCAAGCCCCGCCCCCCGCCGCGGCCCCCATTGGCCGCCGCCGCCGCGCGGTAATCGCCGCCGCGTGCAATGAGGAGCGCCCGCGCTGACCTCATTCCCGGCGGCGGGGCGAACTTTTTAAAAGGGGCGGGGGGGGGGGGGGGAAGGGGGCGGGCCCCGCGCGCCGCCCCGCGCCCCGCCGCGCACGTGCCAGCGCCCCCCCACTCCCCCCACGCTCCTCCCTCCCTACCGGGGAAAAATTAGGAAATCAGCAAAAATCATCCTAATACATTTTTTTTTTTTTTTTTTTTAAAAAAAAAAAAAAGGACTAGAGCGGGGATTAAGGGCTCCGCACCTGCGGCGCGGGGGGTGGGCGGGGGGACACCTGCCCGCACAAAGGGAGGGTCGGGCGGCGCTGCCGGAGGGAGGGCTCTGACCCCCCCCGCCCCCTCCCTCCACGCCCACACGCAGCGTGTTACGGAGGGGCCGTCACCCCACGAGAAGTGCCGGCGCGGCGCTGCCGTCACGCCCCCCCCCATCTCCCCCCCCCCCCCCCCTCCGCCGCCACGAGTTCCAGCCGAGCGGCGCCGGGGGTGGGACGGGGCGCGGAACGGCGAGCCTCCCCCCCCACACACACACCTCCACACCCCCCCGCTATCACGCGTGCTGTCCGCACCGCCCCTCCGCGCCCTCCTACCCACGCCGCAGCCCCGACGGACCCCGGGTGTGTGGGGGGGGGTACGGCGGGGGGGGAGGTGCTCCGTTCGGCTCCCCGGGAGCCGTCGCGGTCTCGGGGGGGGGTGTGTGGGGTGGAAGCGGGGGAGGTACCGGCCTCCTGGGGCGGAGGTGCTGCCGTGCCTGCGCCCCCCCCCCCTTCCCCCCCCCCCCGGGGCCCTTCCCGAGGTGCAAGGTGCGTTTCGGGGGTCGCCGTTGCACCCCGTTCCCCTCTCCGCCCTGCAACGAGCGATCGCGAATAAAAAACCAAACCAAAACCAGGGCAGCGGTGCTAGGGGCTGTGAAGCCTCCACCCCCCCCCGAAGGCCTCGCGGGACCCAAAAACACCAACGCGCAGGTAAAGGGGGATGGTAGGGCCACGAAAACACGGGAGCTGTGCTCCCCAAAGGTTCCTCACATCATTCGTCAGGCCAGGGACCGAAAAAAATGCTGTTAGACAAAGCAGCTGTGAAAATCCTCGCTCCACACACACCACCAGTTAAAAAACACTTTTTAAATCATAAAAAAAAAAAAAAATGTTGGAAACAGCTGAAATGTCTAAGAGGTCTGAAAGTTATACATTTTTGCAAGAGAATTTATGGTAGGCTCCTTCAGCAAGGTTTCTAGCTGGCTTGAGAACGAGCTTTGAATATTAAGATCCCACAACTGGACTCAAACGATTACACTGTTACGAAGTGCTGAGAAAAATCCTGAATCCCCCAATCCCTCCCTGGGCAGGTCACCTCCATTGCGGAGAGCCTTTACAGAGATACAACCGAAATTATTGCTTTGCTTGCAAAAATAATACATTGTTTCCTCTCTCAGCTTCTGGTAAGCATTGGATAAAATACTGCTTTCTGCTAGGTTGACGACATCCAGTGACATCAGTGCGGTGTCTCACCTTTACAGTTTGTGAGCAGTAAATCACCCTATGTTATTCCCCCGTGACCCCAAAGCGAACAGCAGATCTGTTCTACCATATACTACCACCACCACCTATAGAAACGGAGGCCAGGGGGGGTTTTGGTGTCGGGAGTAAGTACCGGGTTTATTTACACTCCTGGTAGCGCCGAGCAGGAGTGTGAAAAACCGGGACTGGGAGCTCCTGGCTGCTCCACCCGTTCGCGCTATATCCACCGTGATTTCAACCCCTATATATAATAAATAAAATAAATAACAATAAAATGTTATTTTACATATAAATATCAATTTGTTTAAACTACAAGGCAAGTAGTTATTTTTCAAGTTTCTCCACACAGTAGAGCAGATAAAAACTAAACAGATAGGCAGAGAGATAGGAGGAAAAAGCTTTGGAGAAGCTTTTCACTCAGTTGTGTTAGGGTGTGCCAGGTCTTGACTGCCATCAATAAAAATTATCTGCAAGGTGAGCTCAGTGTTACCTTGATGGAAGCGGTCACGTCGATTTAATCTTGGTTCAAAAAAGTGGCTATGTGGGATGGATGGACAGAAGAGTATTATTTCCGGAATGAAAACTTTACAAAAGTGCAATTTAGAACTGCTTAATAAAGCAATTGTAAGAACACAATGTGAAACTCCATAAAAGCATTTTACTACAATTTCTCGGCTGTTTCTTTGAAGTTAATTGCTTCCACCCCCTAATCCTCCAAGTGCTGGACTGAAAGCACCTTCCAGCTCCCCAAATTTTTAAGCCTAGATGTAAAGCGTGAGCATTCAGCTCCCATCTCAAATGCCGTTTGAAGGGCATTGGCAAGATTCCTCCACTCTTTATAAGTTAAAAAGCCTCGAAACTTCATTCTGGTTCCTGCAGGCTTTGTAAGGCCGGGGCTGCGGCAGGGGACGCGAGGTGGCAGCGCTGAGCCTCTTCTGCCACACGTGAGAAAACGCTACCGAACCCAGGTTTTTTTTAATTATTATTATTATGGTTTTAAAATTATTATTATTACCCTCCCGCCACGGTTATCCTGAGCAGCACAGTGCTGCAAGTCCCTAACTGAAATTCATCAGGAAATCAATGCCAACACCTTCACCTCGCGATAAACCCCACCGTGGGGTGTGTGTGTGTGGGGGGGGGGGGTGTTGCAGGGGCAGGGCCGTTACCAGCACCCTTCCCACGCGTCTGCCCGCAAACTGGGACCCGCAGCTCGCCCCGCACACGCAGCGAGGGGGCTGGTTCTGGGGCAAAGCTGCTGGTTTGGGGGACAAAGCTCCCAGCAGCGACTCCGGGTTTCCTGGGCGAGCCAGAGCGCAGTCCCCACCCGGTTCAAATGCCTGCAAAACCACGCAGAATTAGCACCGCTGCAGATTATTATTTTTTTTTTTTTTTAAACCCCTCTTAAAGCGAGGATTACCAGAGCTCAGGTTTATTTAACTGCGGCCCTCGCTGTCGAGTTTTTCCACACCCCCGGCTCCGCGGGGTGTGAGCAATGCTCCCACTCGGGCCCAGATTTGGGGGAGGCACCTCTCCCCACCCCCTTCCCTCCTCGCCCCTCCCGCCCAACGTGCTCCTGCACCCCCCCCCGCCGCCGTGGCGCAGGCACGGCCGAGGGGGGTCCGTGGGCACCGTGGGCAGGACCGAGGGGTTGCCCTCCCGCGCTGCGCACAAAGCGCACCCACCCCTCCTCTTTAAACACCCGCCCTTGCCCAGCGTAGCTCCGACCCGCTCCCCCCCCCCCCCCCCCCCCAGCACTTCCCTCCACCCCCGGCGCCTCCGCGACCGCGCAGCGCGACGCTGCCCACGCACGGCGAAGCACGCGGGCGGGCGCAACCCGCCTCCCGCCGCCGTATCCCTCCCCCCCCCCCCCCCCCCGTCTCCCCCCACCCTCTTCGCCGCGCACCGACCAACCCCCACGCAGGGGCTGCGCGGGCGCGGAGCCGCGGCGGAGGGCGCTCCGCAGCCGCGCACCTCCCGCGGCGGGGGGAAGGAGGGAGGGAGGGAGGGGTGGTACCCGGCTGCGCGCGGCTCTCCGCGCACCGCCCCCCCCCCCCCCCCCCGCCCCCGCGGAAAGCGCGCCACCCTCTGCGGAGCCAGGCCCTGAACACGCGTGGGGCGCGTTCGCGGCACAGAAGGAGCAGGGCCCGGTCAGTGACACGGGTGGGTCGCTCGGTGATGCCCGGGAGGTCTCACTTCCCGCCACTCCGTGACTGGCACCCACGCCGTGGGGAAGGGCAGCATCATATTATTATTTACACTCCCACCCACCCCACCCACCCCATATAATTTCTGAGTGTTTGTTTGTCTGCGACCAAAATTCACCTCTGCAGCGTATGTTTCGCCTCGATGTTCCACGCCACATTTTAAATACACGTACTGGGGTGATTTTAGCCTTCCCGAATAATTGCGGACAACAAGGCCACGGCAGAGGTACGCCGCCACAGAACACCTTCCCCACTGTCTTTCTGTTGCTTGTTTTGATCCAAGCAAAACAAAGTTGATGAGATACTTGCCATTAAGGGGGGGGGGGGGGGGGAAAGGCTTTTAAAATAGCATGATGGTAGCAGATATTCATGATCAAAGAAGAGCGTGCTTAAGGATCAGAGGTGTAAACTGAGACATGAAAGTGGGCCCTCCTTCTCTGTCCTGTTTGCAAGAAGAAAACCCCCATTGTGCAGTTGCGTCACTCTGATGCACAGAGTGCCTTTATTCAACGTGATTCATCAACACTTTGAACTCTCCCCGATAGGTATGTGGAGAAAAACTTTTATTACTGGGAAGTGTTTTATAGAGGATATTATTTACTTAGTGCAAATCTGTTGCCTAAAGTTGTATGGTATTGTTTCCTTCAAAACTGTATATTCACTTAGGTTTTACTTGAAGCCTTCACATAGCTACTCGGCGCTCTTGGTATGAGAACGCCAAGACATTTCCAGCTCATTTAATACAATAAGTAGGTAAAAAGGCATTTGCATATACATACTACGGTATGAATTCAGATATTAATCACTTATATGGAAATGTTTGGTTTGGGAAGGCAGAAACACCTCTCCAGAGATTTTTAATAAGAAAATATGATAATGCCTTCTATCCTTTATCCACTTCTATGGCTTTTTAAGTTTAAACTTGTTCTCGGAGAACAACGCAAGTTCAAAAAGCTCTGTTGAAGAAATAAAGAAGAAACTTGGAAAAGACACTGTTTGCGTTTATTAAAAGCAGAATTGTAGCCCCTATCCAATCCTATAAGATTTAGTAAACATTTTTTTTTTAAAAAAAAAGCTTCATATAAGAA